AATAAAAATACTAAAAAATATTTTTGGTAATAAATGACCGAATGGCAGTTCATGCACTCATAAGTAGATAAGCGTGCACCAAGGAGAAGAGGCTTTCAATATTTATATACAAACATGTGAGTTTAAATTAATATTTTATGAAGGCGTAAACAGAATTACTTCAGATGGTATAGCCTACAGGTATTTCGATTTTAGTTGTGGCAAAGAACAATTAATTTTTTAAAATCACGATCAATGTATGGAAACGCTTTAATTTCCGAATAAAACTTTAAATAATACTTAAAAAGGTTGTACCACGATTTTACATGTTTATTCCTCATATTTTATAAAAGTTTTTGCTGGTTTCATTAAAAAAACCGTTTCAAGTACAATACGATAAGTACTTCACTGCATATTAATCATAGATTTTTTTTTTCGTAGTTTTTTCATACTTTGCGAGACAAAAACTGTTAGATTTTTTAATAAAACCAGGAGTACCTTTTATAAAATTTGAACAAGGAACATCAAAAATGTCTTGAATCTCGCGTAAGTGAAAAAAGTATGGCTAAAAATAGGAATTTTTCGATGAATCCAGTTACCGAGCAACCAATGGAATCGCTGTATCCAAAATCATTGTGGAGCCCTAAAACATTGTTCATCGAAACAATAAAACTAATTGTGCTTTGTCTCAAGTAAAAATCGAAGGGTCTGCCGAATACATCGTCTGGGCTATTCCGTAGGTATATTAATGACTTAACGGTTAAATAAAAACAGAATTACTTCATTTCGAAATTGACCTGATAGATACCAACAAGGCCATATTTTAGAATTTTTATCAACTGATTTCCTCCCAGCGTATTGATTGTCCGTCATTATACTGCCATATCATTTTTAGATAATACTCGATCCGTTATTGTCAAGTCGTTAGTTATTTCTTTTGTAGTGATGGATTCGAAATTTTTTATTTTCGAAGGCATCCTCAGGGCGCGAATATATACTTAGGTCGATACAAACCTACGTTCGTTAAACCTTGCTGCATTCAAATTGATTTGTCTACCAGAGTTTAAAAAATCAATAAATTAATTTTAGAGGTGTTGCCTCTGTTTTTATAGACTAATCACTAAACAACATTTTTAAAGTTCTTTGTTCCAAAATGAGTTTTTGACTAACAATATCTTATACTATTAGCTAGGTCTATACATTTCGCGATTTTATTTAAAAATCTTATAATTAACTAGTGCCTATCAATTTGAGTTCAATTGGTCACCGGAGATTATAAAATTCAAACTTACCGAACCCAAAAAGAGACTCATTATTAGTATTGTCAGGAAAATAATCATATTAGAGTTACAATTAATGACCAAATAATAATTAAAGTCGAGATTAAAAAATTACCATGGTTAGAAGAGTCCAAACGATCACTGTGAATGCCAATGACAGAAACCTCATTGTGTCAAGGAAAAATTTTCCTGGTAACAGTAGCTGTATATATTATATTCGTGCATGTAGATACGTATACGCCATATATCAGAATGAATTTTGAACCAGCGACAATAATTGATTACGACCGCCACGGCCGTGACTATACCGCGACATAGGTATGTATAGAGGGCAGTTGGACTACTAGCTTGAGTACTTTGAGTGACATTGCTGTCCCTAAATAATTTTATTAACAATTATTGAAGTATTTCTAATCAATACGTCTACAACTCTTATATAAGTACTTAATTATTATATTGTACATGGATTTTAAAGTAAAATAGGCCGGGTTTCTCTTTTCTGACGCCAACTGATCTGTTTAATTAGGTGTACGGGAGTAAGTAGGCATAGGTATTTATAAAAAATAAAAAATAAAAATTTATGTGTACCATAATTTTTGTGAAATATTTGTGCTGTTTCATTGAAGATCCAGCAGATGGCGAATGAGAGTCGAATACCATATAGTGTACTCTAGAATACCATTAACCGACTAACCGTCCATATGTATTATAGTTATACTACTATAGTGTTGGCGAACACCATATATAAGTTGTACTACATAATTTTTTTCTGTACGTAGAAATTTATTTCTTTTTAAATTGTTGTTATTATTTTTATCATGTTTTATTTATTTTTACATTTTTTATTTTTACATGAAATAAAAATACAACAAAAATTTTCAAAGGAGCAACAAATATTTTAAATGAAGCAAAATCAAAAAGTACACAGGTGGAAATTTTTTAAATTTTTTTTTTCATATTTCTTACTATCGAATTAGCAACAAATCACCCTAATATCGCATTAATCGCATATAAATGAAATACGATTCTTTCGACCTTCGAGTTCGATATGTCGAAAAGTGGGTAAGTAGAATTTTAAAATTATTTTTCTCGTACTTATACTTATTCGTCACCAAAATACACACTAGATAGTATCACATTTAAATCGCGGCACCGCAGAAATCGGAATTTCCTCGAAAGATTAGTTCATCAGCTGTTCTTTTTTCGGTTTCGTTCCGAAAGTCATTGGTTGTAAGTTGTAAGTAGTTTACTATTTAACTTTTTCATAACCTCTGCAATGTGTTGTTTTCGCGAATTCAGTAGTCTTTTACTTTTAAACTCGTCATGTAACAATAGTGATAAAAAATAATTTCTAAAGTTATTTGGAAAGGAGTGAAATAAAAAAGTGCTTACAATTACTCTATGTTTAAGAATAAATGCATTTGACTTTAGGCATAATATACATTACAATCATAACATTTTCATTTTGTGTGTTCTTTACACTGGCACACATTCGCATGTTTATGCATATGTATATGAAAGAATAAATCTCACATCTTCATAGATTGTATTCACAAAAATATTTTTGAAGCTAACTATTTAAAAAATCTCATAAATCAACGTGTTCTTTCAGCATCCAAATTATTGATAATTATGCATTTCATATGTGCAGAATGAGATTTGAATAATCAGCTTACAATAAAGCGTATTTTCATTAAAATTTGTTTCAAGACTCAACATAACACGTAATCTATTAATATACAGTTAAACAGTACATTGGCTGGCCATAGCTATATACGCTACAGCTACAAACGTATTTTATTGATTGAGATCAACACAAACCACCTTCGTAATCATCATCTTCTTCTTCCCGCGATGGTACTGATGTTGCAGCTGCAGAGGGTGAAGTGTTTAGTGGCTCTAACTGGGATTCTTCAGATTTTGCCTTGAAATGAGATTGTTCTGGGACTGATTGAGATTGCATATCTTCAGGGTTCGGTTCAGGCTGTGACTCTTCTGTTTTTGCAGGTTTCTCAGAAATATTGGCTTTGCCGGTTAAGGCTGCTAATGTCAAGACCTCCTAGAAAGACCATAAAATGAATAAATTCTTCTCATTATACTGCGTGATTTAAAACTACTCAGGAAAGTTTTTGTTTTATAATGGTTTGAAATTAATTTAATAAGATGTCATTTTATAAGGTCACAAATAAATGTAATCAAACACGTACTCTATTAACATCTGCTTCGACTGTTGACTTGACGTTAGGTGATACATAAGAAGGTGCTGCATTCGGTCGCACTCCTGCAGGTGACACTGTGTATTCTTGCTGTGGTAGTGGAAGGCCCCTAGCTAACTTTGCATATTCAGTGTCCATATGTTTAATGAATGGACTATTTAATGCTGCTCTAGCACCATCAGCATCTTCGTAATCATAGGCTTCCAGTAATGTTTGTAGTGTTTGTATCTGTTAAAGAAATTGCACATCAAAATTATGATTTCTACTAATTGTTCAATCAGATAAAATTTATTGAATTCTACCTCTGGGACGTCACAGTAGTTTCCCCATTCTTTGAAGGCTTTTTCAGCTGCAACTTGATCACCTCTTGCTAATTGAACTAATACTAAAGCAACTGCTAGTCTACCAATCGATGGCTGATGATCGATTTCCTGGTGCATATTAATTTCTCGTCGAATTGCATCAGCTGCCTCATCATATTTACCCAGTCTTACCAAAAACCTTGCTACTTTGCTCATGTATTCTGCAGCTTGTCTTGGACTGTCTTCTCCCTAGCAAAAGACAATGTGGTTTAATATTTATTGAAGTTGAAGGTACAAGTTAAAACATTTTCAATTCCTAACCATGCAAATGTCAGCTGCACGTTTGTAAAGTTCCATAGCCTTTTCCGGTTCCTTTTGTTCCAGAATTTTTCCTGCTTTATCCAAAACAGATGCACCAGATTCTGGTGACCCATGCTGCTGGTAGAGTGAGCATGCACTGTGTGCCAGTCTAGGTAGTTCATCCAATTTATTCATCTCCTTCAAGACTAAAATAACGCTCTCCATATTTCTGCAAGTTTTACATCAATTTTAGGCTTTTATTAGTACTCGGGTAAAAAAAATATCGCGAAAGATACATTGTATTAAATTACTTACTTGGCTGCATGAAACCATCTAGTTTTTTAAAATAATCAAAGTATTAAGGAAAGTAAAAAGTTAACTTTTTGCCACTTCATGTAAATCTTACAACAGAATTTATGTATGGATGAGAAAAGCTTGTCAAATAAATAAAGGATACGATCTGTTCTGCTTGTAGCAGTCAGCTGCCTTTAACAGACACTCCTTGCATTCTTCGTAATTCTTGATAACTCGAAAACAAGTGGCTGTATGAATGATACAAATAAATAAACAATACAATGCCAAACACTTTTGGATGAGTCGATTTCAGTCTTCCCCCCAAAAAGACGTTAGAGTCCAAGTGAAGGTAAACAAAAAAATAGAAAAATGTGATTACCTGCGTGGGTGTACTCGTCAGCCGCGACGTCAAAGTCCGGTCTCCACTTGAGCAAGCCCGTCTTCAAACTGCAATTTTCACCACCCAACGGTATAAGCAATTTTACGCACAGTCGGATATTTCATATTGGTAAACAAATATATACAATAGCGTGTACTTGCCTCTTCTCCGCCTGTCGTATGTGAGCGTTTGCTTCCTCGATTTTTGACATTTTTCTGAGAATTTTGATCGATTGTCAAAAGTTAAATAAATCAATGGCAGCGGCACACACCTGGTGGTCAACTTTTTCTTTCTCTGTATATACCAAACACTCTCAGCTCCTCCCTTTATTCCTTTATAGAAGGATAGAAAGGCCGAGAGAGAGAGATGAGTATATAGGATATAGGAATACAGCGTGATAACGAGAAAGATAGAGAACAGGGGTGGGTCGTGTATATATATGTAAGTGCACACACGCGTGACCTTCGCACCCTTGCTGCTCCAAAAGCTCCCGCACGCAAGCTCTGCAATACACAATTTGCCTACATGAGAGCGACTTCGTGGAATATACTGTATCTACGTGGTCTTCTTCTACGCGGCTTCCTCTTGTGAGCGGCCTCGCTGTTATGACGCGTTCCTTGCACAAGATGTCAAGTGTCAACGTCACAAATATTTATTTACATTCAAATAATGACATTATCATATGCAGTTGACGATGCAATAATGTATATGCATGGCACTGAGGGCACAAAACACAATCTTGCAGACGACGCACATCACTCGTTTACCCCTTCTTACCACCTGCATCTAACACCCCCCAGCAGTGTTTACCAATCGGGCAGTCCCCCGCCCACTTTTGATGCGCGAATGCGCCGACCGTCACCTCTGTATTTTTTTTACTTTATGACGATGGCCTGATGGGTTAATTAATTAATGGGCACGGGTAAGGTGGTGTTGGTTGTGCAAGTTTATCATTCGTCATACGGCTCTTTGTAATGATTGTCTTTTATTTTTTGCCTGACACTATTATGCTCACGAGATTAAGAATTTTTTATGCTGTACAATTAATTTATTCGTTTGTGCATTATAGTTGTGGAGTATTTAGGCGTTGGTGTACATTTCGTGCCATTCATAAGTGACGTCAATACCTATTTACAGTTCAAATTAAATAACAATAATTTTACTGTGATTCGTGTGCGCGTGTCATTATATTATTCGCGCCAGCGCTACAACGCCATCTCTTGCCAATAGGACAAAATAATATTTAAGGGCGCGTTTACATAAGGAACGGATCGCGCAGCGCAATCGACACATTACTCGTTTGTTCTTCATGTAAACGCACCCTAACTATCGATAATCGACACTCGACTTTCTTATCTATTAAGTACCCATTGCTAAGTTCATGGCCAAATAACAAATGTTTAAAGGTATGGCGGGAAATTTTCCCGGGGAAAACAAACCAAGATTTTTTGTGTACACACCACGGAGAGTGACTTGATTAGAGTACAGATTTGGATAATAATTTGCAGTGTAAATAGTATCAATCAAGATTTTGACGTCTAGAGTTGTTTAAAACGTTATTTTGTGTGCCACAAATAAATAAACGTAAGTAAATGCAAGTATACGCAAGCTCAAATGTAAATCATTGACAAACTCTAACCTCCAAATGAACATGTACATACACTTATTCGGCTTATAAAATTTTGTATTTAAAATTTTGATACAATATCAAACGAGTGACTATCAGTAACAATTAAAGTAAGATCAATCGTAGATGGCCGAAAAGCTTGAAGACCTAAATCTGCCAAATGCCGTGGTCACGAGGATAGTGAAAGAGGCCTTGCCTGACGGCGTGACAGTGGCCAAGGAGGCTCGTGCAGCAGTCGCCAAGGCTGCCTCGATATTCATCCTGTACTTGACCTCGTCTGCGAACATGATCGCCAAAAAGAGCAATCGCAAGACTGTCAGCGGACCCGACGTCATACAGGCCATGGAGGAGATCGAGTTCGAGCAGTTTATTGAGCCACTGCAGGAAGCCCTCGAGAACTTTAAGAAGAATCAAAAGGAGAAGAAGGACGCTTCTACTAAAAAGAAGCAGCAGCAAAAAACGGACGAGAAAGACGGTGATAAGGATGATGACGATGTAGTGGAGTTGCCGGATGATGAGTGATAGTGCAAATGTAAATTTTTTTTAAGTTTGGTTTAAGTAAGTCAGCAGAGTTGTATTTTTTTACCAGATAAATGAGTGTTGACTTGTAATTTAAAGAACGATTATTATTAAGTTTGAGCAATACAATAGTGATTTAAAATCATGGGTAACAATATTTTGTTTTTAGTCTTTTTTTTTTGTTGATTTCTTAAAAAACTAATAAAAATCTCGCATGCGCATAGTAATCAGTTATGGAACAACTTTTAAAAATTTGCAATCGTCAAACGCTTCCTCATAAGATAAAAACTGTACAAAAATCACACGAATAATACAAGCCTTAATGTGAAGAGCGTTGCTGAGAAAAGTCTAATAGGAAAATCGATAGAAAGATTTATTGCGTGATTCTGACTTTGCGTTTTATTGTAGTTCTGCACATTGGGCAATCATTTGTCAGCATATCCGTGCAACGTGCGCAACAACACAGATGTCCACAAGGCAAAAAAATAACCTCGCACTGAAATTAAAAAGAGATGTAATTTGTTTTTCTACTTGCGTAAAAATAACTTTCATTACATGAAGTATTTTATATGATAAAAGTCTTATAAATCCAAAACCTTACATCAAAATCCATGCAAACAACACATTCAGAAGGTGCACTTGGTTCAAACTTGTATTCAGGCTCTAAAGAGCTAGTGCTAGGCTCTACATCTGGAGGAGCAGTTGGAAGATTATAATCTTCAGAGTTCAATTTATTCTCAGCCAAATAATTCTCTACTGCCATTAATATCGCAACTCTGTCGCTATCACTGTTGATGCCAATCTTAAAACAATTTGACGTCAATTTAATTGATAAGATTAATCAAGAAAACTACCAGTAAAGTTAACATTATCAACTTTATGCATACGGATTTTAATTGTTCATGATCTACGTGAGGAATGAGCGTCGGAAGAGTCGATAAAAATGGTAAACAATGTAAGGCTCCTGCTATAGCAACATGTCGTACTAAACACGGATCTAGAGTTTCCAAAAGTCCTTGAGGACGAGCCTCAATCAGAGATTGGTACTGAAGAAGCCAAAAAAGGCTGTCTTCTCCTGATAAATTCTGAAATCAAAACATTGTTTGTTATATACATATTTGAGTGAAATTTCAATATGAAATTTGGTGTTGAAACTTGCAAAAATATCTCGTTGCTGTTCAATGTGCTTGATAGTTTCCAAAAGTTGCTGCCTCCTTTCCTCTTGCTGATCAAGTAGACCCAACAGTATTGCACTTAGAGTGATTCTCTTATCCGCAATGTCATTCTGTGAGAATGTTATACAATAATTGTAATGTGAACACATTTTTTTAGTTAATTAAATTAAGTTGAAGCAAAAATTACAATTTGCTGATCAATCTCCAACTTTTTGCGCTCCATTTCGATTTTCGTCAGTGCCGCTAGTTGAGACTGGATCAAGTTAACTTGCTGAACGATACTCCATGATCTGGCGTCGCTACGTTCTAATAAAGCTGCTACCATTGCTTTCTGAAGCTGCTCGTCCTCTCGCAATCTACTCACTAAATCATGTCTGTTTTTCTCCTGATCTTGTATCACTTGTAACAGCTGATTATTATTTTTTACTTCTCTGAAATAGTATGCAGATGAAAATGGTATCCAAAATAAATGATTGAACGTTATTCTATGTTCACTCACAAACTCAACAACGATTGAGCGTTGCAGTCTCTAAACGCTGCATATTCTGTTAGCTTTTTCTCTTTAAGGAGTTCTTCTTCTAATAAATCTTTCATAGCCACTAAAATAATTATTTTAAAAATGATTGGATTTTAATTCGTTAATTGAAGAAATTTAATTCAATATCGACGAAACTTACAAAGAGTATCTTTAGTGCGATATAAGGATTGCTTGGAATGACTTTGTGACAATATTAGCATCTCTTCTCTCTTTTCTATTTCTAGTAATTCTGCTTGTGTTTGACGTAGTTCTTCACTACTACGTAGGAATTCTTTAATCACATTATGAGCTTCTTTTTCAGCTAAAACGACGAAACGATTACATAAATTACTTTGACTAAACATGTTTCGAAATTATTGGAACAAAAAATTCGTGTACTCACTATTATTAATACAGGATAATAAACGCGATCGATTTACGTCTCTCTCTTGGTGTACTTTCTCTATTTCTTTTTCCAATTGAATTTGTTGATGTGCCAAGTCATTCAGAAGCTTTTGTTTGTTCAACTTTAATTTATTCTGCATTTCAAGCTCTTGTTGTTGCTGTTGTTTCATATTTTCTTCAACTTCTAACAAAGCATTTTGTCTTTGTTCCTGTAACATAAATTTGTGAGCAGACTGTTCATTTACAAGAATTTTCCCCCAAAGCATTAAAAAAGTTGAAAACGGAATAGCCAAACTTAAAATGAAATCACAAATTTAAATGCAAAAAAATTTCTTTTCATTAGTAGTATATATTTGTCTTATTAGATATGTAAGCATCAAACAAAAAATCAATTCATTTTAATAAGCTAAATTAGTTCTATAAAATATAGTTTTATAAACTCATCCACTAAAGCTGATGATTGTATGCACAAGATGTATTTATTCTGTGTATGAAATCTTCATGATGATGATACTTGGATTATGACAAAGGAATGATTAGGGGATGAAAAAAATTATATAAGCTTCCACGTGCCTTAAGTTTCTCTAACTTCATTAATGTTGCCTAGAAAAGAAAATAAAAATGAACAAATTATAAACCGTTAAATAATGTAAAGCTGCATGTTGGGTTTGCTTGTTATTTTTATCAATATGGCACACAAGAACCCAAATCCAATTACTATTGAAAACATGATTATGTTAAAATTAAAAATTGTGAAATTTGAAGAAAAAAACAACCAAACAAATAACACTTTCGTCAAAAAATGGAGTACACTAGGGTTTAAATTCTAAGCATCTAAATTTTCAAACCTGGACGTCGTTGTCTTTTTCACACAATAGCAGAAGGGCACTTTGGGCTTTTTCGTTGCTCACTCCATCATTCTCGGAAACATAATTTTCGGGCAAATAGTCGATCCCACATTCTTGTGCTAAAAAAGCTACAATAATAATCGTCCCTCCACTAAGAATATCTTCTGGGGGGTACATAAGCTTGAGTCCATCAACGCCTAGGTGCGTCAATTGCTGTGCGTAACCTAGTGACTTTGGCAATTTCTGCAACGGCTTGTTGTTACCGACGTTCAACGAAACAAGGGACTTCAACTCGCCCAGACCCTCCGGCAGCTGCTTTATTTTATTTTTGGATACATCCAGTATTGTAAGACTCTTCAAGCGCAGTATCTCGTTTGGCAGTTTAGACAAATTGTTTTCTTGTAAATATAATTCCTGAAGAAAGGCTTTGATTATGAAAGAACCAAGTTTTAGCTTAATTTTTTTTTTTTTTTTTTGTTTCAAATTGAATGCTCACCTTAAGTGATATGAGATTAACAATGTCTGAAGGCAAACTGTTCAATTCATTGGAATGTATGTCCAAAGCAGTAACAAGAGACAGATTTTTTAAGGCACCTCCACCTGATAAAGATTTCAGCCTATTACACTGCAATAACAGTGTTTCCTTTCTGAAAACTTCACACAGCAAATAGGTACTTGATGGTACATTTTCCAAATTACATTCTGACAGGTCATACACTGGCGAAGGACTCATCCTGGCCTAAAGAAAAAGGATAAAATTTATACCGAATGATCCATTGTAATAATTTTACAAATACCACAATGTACAATAAGCTTTCATTATTTTGTGGACATAAGAACGTTTATTAGGCACAGCTGATAAATATAACCTACATTTAAATATTTCATTCTATTCATTAAAAAAAAAAAAAAATAAAAACATTAAACAGATAAACTCAATTTTTTATGGTCGAACATTTGACCAGTACCAAGAGTACTTCATTGTAGTATATTGGTAGAAAATGTCAACATTGCATGTTATGACGTACATTGCTCTTATCTTGTACATAACTTACTAACAAGTTTAGATAAGTATTGTATAAATGACCAAAAATTAACTGGATGAGAAGAAAAACGAGTCTTGGTGAAAAAAAAATGAAAAATCCAAGTTTTACTCTTCCAAGAAGCATCGCACATCAAACAAACAAATTTAAAAATAAGAATTATGATTCAACAGCACTAGAAAAAAAATATTGACAGCTACATAAGACAACAACACTCACCAGGTAGAGTTTGTGCTCGAGACGAACCTTGTAGTCGACCTTTTCGCCCTTGCAATTCCCATGCTTTTTGCGGAACGACATAGCTATCGCTTGTCATGACAGCGGCTCTCTGTTAAATCACTCAAACTCCACAATTGCTACTCCTGCTGCTGATACTCGTACTACCCACATAATTTTACGTATATGTAGGTATATCACCTATAATAATATTTCTCTGCGCAGGCTGTACCTATATTATTGTTAAATTTAGACAATTGCTATTAGTCGTCATCGTCGACTCATCGTTACTTTTAAGTAATAAATGGAATGTACTTAATGTAATGAAATGACAAGCCCAGCGTGCGAGTCTAACCAACCCTACCGCCGCACCAACTGACAGCTAATACGAGCTGCATTGCGAGCCTTTGTTTCGCTAGTTTTTCGTACATGTATATCGGGTATATCCATATACATTTGTCTTCCAGCATCGATACAGGAGAAAGCGGGGTAAATTGGTACACCACACTCACATATTTAATCTTTTTTTTTTTTTTTTTTTTAGCTTACACAACAATAAAATGCAGCTAGGTATTTTGCAACTTTGAGAGAACTATGTAGGATCTAATGGGTTGCAACTTTAGGAATTTTCTCAATATTGTTCGGTTGCGTAACAGTGAGTTTAAATGTCTGTGTATCTCTATGGAATTATACATCAAATACGGTTTTTGAAGAGAAAATTCCAAAATCAGGGGAAGGGGATGAATTTATTTTTATAATTTTTTTTTCTCAACTCATTTTTCTCATTTTTCGTATACTACTTGCCTTAAAAGATTTACACTTTGGATTATCATTTTTTTTTTGTCACATGAGCAGTGCACGCTGTTTATTTAGATGTTTATCGATTACGGCTCGCGCATGATAAGAGATAACAGGTCAACAACTCAGATTAATTTGAAGTGATCCCTCAGTCCCTTGGGATTTTACGGTTATTTTATACAAAATGTATGAAAGCTCTTGCGTGCCAAGTATTACTTACCAATCTTCTTTTTTTTTTTTTTTTCAAAGTAAATTATTACCTCGAGCTGAAACATTAAACCGTGCAATTCGTACATTTTTATCTTTTGGTCTCGGTTTTGGTTGAATGAGCCCTGCTTATTAAATTTGCCTAACAAAGTAATTCGGGACTTTTATTTATCAATTTTTTTAATTTATTAAATTCTTTTTCAAAGAGTTATAATATTCATTTAGCGGGTGCTTTCACATAAAAAAAAAAAAAAAAAAAAAAANAAATGGTAAGAAAAAAGTACTTGGCAATTATTAGAAAAAAAAGAAAAAAAGAATACTTAGTATATTTATTTCATGTCTACAAAAAATGATTTGAAAAAAATAATACCTAACAAATCATTTAGATATTATTTTTACTTTAAATCGATAGAATACAATAATTTTTAAATATATCGAAGTTATTTTTTTGATAATTTTATCAGCTATTCACATGTATTCACTATACTATTACTAATATTTTTAAATTATAAATTTTTCGTCTTTTCGGTTAAAATTGTTCAGAATTTTTGTCAAACAAAATTCTTGTACTTAAAAAATAATATTGCTTGAAAATTGTTGATTTTTTCCTGGTGACATACTCTAATTATTTGACAAATCATTTAACAGGGGATTGATAACGTGTGATAATAATATTTACCAATCGGTAGTGATTATAAGTTTCTTTTTGTAATTTTTTTTTTTTTTTTACAGTAAAAAGGTATTAAACTATGGATACTATTTTAAGATTATTGTTGAATATTTTAAGTTCAAAATGATTCGACTAATGAATCCATATAAATTCAACCTTTCTTCCTTCTTTACCTATACAGGAACAAGTTCGTTAAGCTTTTTTTCGATTGAATGTGCAAAGAAAATTTTTCATCTCAAAATGGAAAACTCAATGTAAAACTTGTACAATCCTGCAACCACGCTGTACCTTCTCATTATTTTAGTTAATTTTTTACAGTAAAAGATTATTAATCTTTGCAAATACAAAATGGTAGTTGTAAAAATGAACACAAAAATTATACTTAAAACGCAATTAATCTTGATATTCCAAGTGTTTCTTTATTTTGTAAATCGATTTCCAATCTAATCACTTATTTGGAAACAGTAACGCATTAAGTTTGAATACCAAATTGTTTATTATTTTCGTTTCATAATCTACTCTTATGATTAACTAAATTTTCATGTCATAATTATAACACATATTGACTTCATCGTAGAATGTTTCGTTGTTATAAAAAATGTAGAAAGACATTCGTGGTTATCAACAACTTTGGCTGATTCCCTTTTGGCGTAGTCGATACTCTGTTGGAGTAAGCATACCTCTGGAAAATTAATTATTTTTGTTAAAATCTAATATTGTATATTTTTTTAGTAGTTGTTTGGAAATAAACATAATATTGATTTCAGTTACATGTTAAAATTTATTATTGTACCTATAAAAAAAAAAAAATTTCGTTTCTTTTATACAATGTTGATTATCATGCTACTGAAGCTTTTTTATTTGTTGTAAGATTTATTAAAAAATAAAATTTTGACAAAGGAAAAAAATGTGTAAAACATATTAAAGAATATTATTCTTACTTAACAGTTTTCTTGTTAATTAATTATAGATTGAAAAAAAAAGAGTTTTTGACAAAGGAAAAAAATAATTTATTACTCATGGCATGAGGACTGGCATACAAAGTGTTAGTATCAAAGGAAAAAACAAATTTTATTCGTGAAATTAATTGAAATTAGCAACAAACATAAAATTTTGTTGTTATCGATCAAACAAAGTTATTTGTCTCGAGATTTATAAATTATGTCTCGTAAGCTCTTTAATATCTCGTGTCAAAAGCCAACCTACCTCAAAACAGTATCAAAAGACACGAAAACTCCCTTATCACACATTTTTTTATACAAATGCCAGCACTCTTTTTCTTTTTGCGTCTGTCCGTAAGGCTCCTGTGTTAAGTCCTTGTCTTTTTCCGAAGGTGATTCTAACGGTGCCATCATCGAATTCATAGCCGTGCTTGTTGCTGTCTGTAAAATAAAAATATATACGTAACCTATAATAAAACTCGACAGTTTTAACGTGTTCAATTTTTTAAGGAGAACATTATTACGCAAACTTTTCATTTTTTTCTTTCACGAGATGACATGTGAATCATTAATTTATAACCATAAAAATTCTCTTGACAAACTTTTTAGGATGAAACATAAAAATGGAATGAAATTTTTGAAACTACGAAGAAATATTTAAGTGGTTTCTCACCTTAGGAGGTAAATTCTCTTGCATCGCAGCGCTGAGCTGTCTCGAGTCGATCTGCGACAAGCACGTCTGGCTTGGGTCCGACGGAAAGGAATGTTTTTTGGTATCTCTATGGAAAAGGAAGCGGAAGCTCGAGTAATAGTGAAATGTGGCGAAAAAAGAGGATAATAAAAAAATAGGATCGTGTGGCTCGAATCGAGACACGCGAACGACTTTTGTCATCAAATCGCTCGAAAAGAAAACGCGAGGTGAAATCGACTCTGGCAATTTAGGTGTTCCTTATTGTTTGTTCTAGTCTAGTATGATTGAACTGTTTAAATATTTTGCTGTTATGTTAGGTTTAGAAATAAATTTGTTGCAACTATTTACAAGTATTTTAAAATCTTGTATCATTCTTTTACTAGTAGTCAATGCATTGTGGATATTAATTTTTTTACTTATTTTTTAACTTTTTTTTGTTCAGTCAATTGAGATCAATCATTAATAATATTGAAAATAATTGAACTAAAATTTATATGTTTTTTTTTTTAGTTATAAAACATAAAATTATTATTAAATAGTTCAAAAACTATTAAAATGAAAATAGTTTAAAATAAAATATTAATTATTTTATGGATTAGTTTGTAGCAGTGAGTTCACGGAAAATTAAATTTTCATAAATGCGTTGGTCTTCGTGGTGTTGTGTTTTTTCCGCTGTTCGATTTCGCGCTATTTACATAAATCTCCCAATGTCCTCTAGATAAGTTTACATTGAAAAACCCCAAGCTTATACTATTTTTCCTTGAAATTCATTAAATTTATAAAAACATTCATAACTTTGGACGAGTAAACTTTACCAGAAAAGAAACAGCCGCGGTTCGGTAATAATTCATCGGAAATGTCTACCCTTTCGTTCAAAACTATAAAAAAAAAAAAAAAAAAAAACACTGCCACATAACACCAACTCCTTTTTTTCTCTAGACCCGATGAATATATTATTTAACAGGGTTTGCAGTGCACGTGTACTAATGTAAAAAAAAGTCAATACAAGGTGCCCTCATTAAACTCTAATCTGATTCTGGTGTCATCTCCCGACCTTCTCGGAAATTTTTTCCAACGCTTTCCATCAATATTAAATGTCTTTCCACGAAAACGCTGAGTTCTGGTGTTTATCTATGAACTACGGAAAATTGATTTTCACTGCTTCTCTCAAAACTATGTATTTTCTCGGTAAATCTACCGTAACAAGACAATGGTTTTCAACAAATCCTTTGTTTCCTTATTTTCCTGCAAAAATGTACATGTGTGAAATTATTTCCGACCACATAATATACGAGCATCTTGTAATCGTATATATATATATATATATATATATATAACATAAAGGCAGGTAAGAAAATCGGGACAATCGATATCTCATTATGTTCGAGAGGGCCGAACAAGATTGATGTTACAAGATGGGTTGTCGTGTGATTGGCTCGCGATTTTTGCCAGTCGACAAGTTTTTCGACATGTGTATTATGTGTATAAAATTGAAGGTCGATGAGCACGTATATTGGGGGATGGATGTCGAGGATAACGTGTGGCTTTTTTTATTTGCAGTAGCCACGCGACGATGTATCGACAGCAAGGATTTTTATAGATTATTACGTTGGATTTGTTTACGAGTTGAAAAAACGTTTTCTTTTTTTTTTTTTCTGAAGTAAATAAGTGTACTTCACGGAATTTATCGTCATTCAATCACCGTTTCAAAAGCTGATGTTGATTTTTTTAATAGTGATGAAAAATTTTAAATCTGTTTTTTGAGATGTTAAAAAAATTTTAAGTCTAAATAAATATTTTCCCTACTTTGAGTATTTTTTTCTTACCTTTGTACGCTTGCTTGGCTCTAGGTAAGAAAAATGGCGTTCTCCTAAATAGTCATTACTTCTCTCCCTTGAAAAATTCATTTTTTTTGTGTGTAACCATCACATCGTGCCTTGCATAAATTATATAAGTTTTTTATTTCTTAATAAACGGCAGGTTCAATGTGAAAAAGTAGAAAACAAATTTTTACATGTACAAGGGGTCACCGTCTCTACACGCTTTTCATCAACTCCCGGAGTTCGATCAAACGTTTGACTTGAATTTTTTAAGCACGATTTGTATAGTCAGTTTTTTTTTTTTTTTTTGTTATGTACCTCTAAATCTAAATTACTTTTATTATTCTGAAAATCATACTTTTGAACTTTTTGGCTGTAAACATATCACAGGGGCAGCCTAGTCAAATCAGTTCTCGAATAAACGGTCTTTCTGACATGACCCATTCATATTTTGAGATGGACATTATTTATTTTTTAATTATATAATCGTACAAAATAGTAGATGTTACATGTTTATTATTAGCTTTCAGAAGTTTAAAATTTTATTAGTTTTAAAGAAAAATTTGAGAAATAAACATCCATTTTTTTATTGAAGCCCAAAATAAGGAGTATAATGTAACACAGGGTAAGGTTTTTTTTCTAGATAAGTTGCGAGTTGTGACGTTGATAGCTATTGCCTGTTGAGATTGAAAAAAAAGTTGTCACGAAACGATGTTATTCGCGCTAAAGACAAAGGACATTTAGGCCATGCTCTTCTTTTGCCCAGCCTTCTATGACACGTACAAATATTGATTAAGTCAAAGCTGTGTGCTACTTTAGAAAATTTATACATTGGTTGTAATACTTTGTTTTTTATTTATTATAGATTTTTTACTTATAATAGAATATATTGGTTGGAAACACTTGAGACATTTTTGCAACTGATCGCGGCTGTATGGTCGCAGAAGAAACGGCGACTTCGTTATTGGCGAAAAAATAAGGAAAAAATTATACCTCAAAAATTCAATTTTTAATTTTTTAAAGTTTCAAACCGAAAAAATTTTACTTTCGATAAATATTATTTTGTATTAATTATATCACAAATAAATATCTTTACCCAATTTTTGGTGCTTCAACAACGGCGCTGCGACACCTCACCAGTTTCCTTTTTTTGTCGTGTATATCCCCGATCGGCACGGCCAGGCACCGTTTCTCGCGATCCGTCAGCACGACAGTCTCGCTCGGTGGTGACATTTCAGCAAACTTTATCGGTGACTGCGTGTGTCGAAGACTCGGGCTTGGCTCCAGACTTCTCCAGGAACTCAGGGTGAGCGTCGCCGCTGCCAGCAAAGGCGTTTCCTCGGCACTGCCTGCGCTTAATTTACTCAGGGCGGCAAAACGAGCACGAAGGGACGCTCGGGAATCGTTTTCCACAGAGTTCATCGCCTGTGTCGGTGACTCTTCGCTGTCTAACGAATCTTGCTGGAACGACACTGAAATATTTTCACTTGGTATTTGAAATTACTTTAATGGGCGAAGGAATTTTATTTATTGCCTTTGACTGAAACTTTTCATTATTAAGTACTTCTCTAGGTTAGGGAACGAAATGCTCGATTCGTAAATTAGAACTCTATTTTATCGGTAAAAACTATTTTTTGGTTGTGTTTCGCTATTATTTGAGTTTATTTTGAGAAATTTTTATACAGAAGCTTCAAACTAGTACATAATGTTATACATGGTGGTTTCCGAATCAACAACTGTTATTTAAGTTGCCATTGAATTGTTTGCTCAAAATTTTATCAGATGGTATATGGAGTCCAAACTTAGTGGCGCCTCCGTATTTGCGTTTTGCACAATTTACTAAAATAATAACCATGCAATTACATAATAACATGACATTAAAATTGTTGACCGTTATAATCTGACACTAAAAATTTAACTTGTTCTTCATTAATTGTTAGACAAACTGTTTGTAGACTGTGATTTGAAAAGGGTCAATTTTCTTCTAAATACAAAAAATTACGTAATGTAACATCAAAACCTGTAACTTTGCTGGTAACTTTTACACAAACAGTAATCAAAATACCAAAAAGTCCACGAAATCTCTCGAATCGTCTCATTCCAAAGTTTTTTTGTTTTTTTGCAAAGTATTTGGATCTGCAGGTAATACGCACGAGTTTGCATGTCGCTAGCTAGCCAGACAATTAGTATCAATTATTCACCCAGAGAAGTTCTCGTGTTCGCATAGCGATAGTTCGCCGTACACTTGGCCTCACTAAAAACTTCTTAGTCGCCTTTCTTTGTTTTTCATTCTTTGAGATTTTATTGCAATACCGCATATGAATGAGCCCAAGGATGGCCTCGCACTTGATTGTTTGTTGCACGTACTCGCACAGCCCGTAAAAGCATCGGACACGTCTGAAACGGTGTGAATGCGCGGAGAAACTTTTGGACCGACCTTGAAATTTTCGTGTTAAGAAAGAAACGGCTTATGTATACGTAAGCAAGTTGAGGCAGAAAGGAATTTCGTGGCTGTCAGGTTTTAATTGTTTGCAAGCCGTTAACGCTTAAACTCCTTTACGAATCGTCGACTTTTTTCGAAATAAATCTTGTGATTTAAACCAACTTGTTGATAAGTTCAGAAAGTTCTTAAGGCTTGGCAATTCAACGTTGTTTTGCTTCATTTATCATATTTTTTAATGTCGGTTGTAATTTTAGGAGCACGTTTCACGAATTTAATTAAATTAATTTTACGATACGGTTGACTTTTGAACTTTTATTCATTTATTTATTCCATATCAAAATTTTTTTGTGGCAATGTCTTTGTGTAGTATAGATAGAGGAATCCTTACAAATTTCATAATTTTCTACTGAAAATTCTTGAACTCTTTCGTTTCCATCTTTCACTTGATTGGATTAGGGTGGTTTACGTGTTCGATGTGTCGCAAGCAAAGGTACTCTCAAGTCGAATATAAATTGAAACAATAGTGAATTATTACTTGCGATGTTGGCAGTAAAAAGACTTTAAAACAAGTGCCCAATATAAATTTTTATAGTACCTCAATAAACCGCATATTTTGTATACATTGTTGATGCAGTAAGAGTGATAGTACCGCTCGAGGATTCATCAGAAGCTAAGGTCATAGTATTAAGCCGTTGAATTTTTAATTTAAAGTACATAGAGATTTTATCTATGAATTCCATTTTTTAATATTATGTAAAGCGAGTCTCATTAGTATACAAACAATTTTTTTGGCTCAATAATATTTTGTAGATTTTTATTATTACAATCATGTATTCAATCATAAACTTGATGTTATTATGTAAAATCCTATCGTGAAATATTTAACCAAAAGAATCTTGTTAATACAGATTAAAACAATTGTTGTTTTTTTTTGAAAGAGAACTTTGCGTTCTTCTCTTATTGCTATAGCTTTTATTTCATTGTGTGAATTTTAACTTCCTCTGATGCGTACCTGATTTGAATTTCCTTAAGCCATGAGATAGTCCATTTGAATATTTAATAATGGGTGTCGTCGAGAGCTTGTTCCTAAGCTCACAGATCAGCTTGTCATCCCGGGCCGAGTTTTCATCAATTTCGCTCTCACTGTCGGCCGAACTGACCAATGAAACCATCGTCACCACTTCGACGCTCTTTGCTTCCTCCGCACCTTTACCAATGGCTTTTCCTGTTCCATCATTCGCCAAATCGTCCTTATTACCTTTAACGGACAATGCACGGCGCCTGCTAGGCTTCGACCGTCGTTTGACCGATGGTGCCGATTTTATCGGACGACTTGCACTTTTTGCAACTGATCGCGGCTGTATGGTCGCAGAAGTAACGGCGACTTCGTTATTGGCGGACAATTGGTCTTCGTTACTTTGCACCTGATGCTGCGGAGGAGCAGAGTTCGTGCGACGGAAACGCGTCGATTCCTGGGAACTGCTGCTATTGATGCTGCTGGCACGACTGCTGATTCGCGGCGTTGGTGATTTATCGACGACCGGAGTGTTGAAGGCCTTGTTAAGGCCACTTTGAAAACTCGCTCGCTTGAACCTCACCCGAGACGCGTCCGGCTCTTTAGTTAGGATCGGAATGGAACTGTCAGTTTCGTCGGAAGTGCCGTTGTTTATCGTGACGTATGCATTCCAGTTGTTACAGTTTATGCTGATGTACGATTTCTTTTGGCACGGCACTTCGGTCCTTTCCTCTTCTGGTGCTTCTTCGTATTCATCCTTGCTTCTATCGTTTGCGGCTACGATGTGGGATTTGATTGTGGAGGGATCAGTGGGATTGTTGGTTGGTTGAAAATGGCACTCTTGTGGTTTCCGAGACTCATCCACCTGTCCGTTATCTTCAATTGTCGTTACGGCTTGTTTCATTTGTATCCTACTCTCCTTCGAATCTTCATCTTTTTCAAGGTTTGATAGTGGTAAAGCGGTTGGACTAGCCGATGCTGATAAACTTGAATCACTTCTAACTTCAACGGTACTATGAGCCAAAAATATGTCGATGTTAGATTTGTTCTCTTCCCTTTGTCGCCAAGCTTGCCTCAACCTTTCGGCTAATTCTTGTCTGGAGTACAAGATCGTTGCCTTTTCACTCAGAGAAGATCTTCCCATGGTACCTCTACCCCCACGTCCAGTTGACGTCTGTCTGTTCGTTGTTTTCAGAGTTGGTATCTGTCGTGCAACAATTTCCACACTGTTTTCATTTTTCGACTTCACTAGTGAGTCTTTCCACGCTACGCGCACTTTTGGCAAATTGTGGTTGTACTGGTCGCCTTTGGTGGACATACTATTTGTGAACCTGACTCGTGATTGTTGCTGACTTTTTTCGTCATCGGTTGATCTTTGTCGTCGGATTTGTTGTTGAGGTCGACGGATCACTGGTTGGTGCAGAGAGTGTTGTCGCACTGGACCAGCCGGACGACGTGGGGATATACTGTTAGTGTTCATTTTTTTTTTTTTTTTTTTCAACGATGTCCTAATTTCATTTATGGATGATGGAAATCCAGGGATCTGAAATAATAGTTGTTTTTCACGGCATCAAGATAGTGTGTTATTTTCAGGGTTAAATACAATAACCAATAACAATGATATGTATAAGCGTGATTTAACGTTGAAATGGTAGTTTCACTAGAATATTATGCCTGGGCTAAAATTTTCAATTAAGTATTTTAATAAATTATCGCCAGTATTGGCAGTAAATGGGATACCTTTTATATTATCATTAATGACTGATTTTGATGATCGCAGCTGTTTGATAAAGAGAATACGCAAAACCTGTAAAGTTTGTTTGGCTGAGAATTGAGAGGATCTCGATAACAACCCAATTAAATTTGTTTTTATTTTTTACTGCTTACTTTATTTCATGACTTTTTGTAAATTTTTGCACGCTAAATGAGTTATTCTTGTCAGACTTGATCATAGTTTCCTGTTTTTCAATTATTTTAGTAATAATAATACAAAAAAAAAAAAAAAATGTTTTTGCTGTAAACAATTTTTTTCTAAAAATGTACCACACTACATGAGCTTGGAAATAATTCGTTGAAACATGAAGTACTCTATATGTATACTACAACAGGGTATTTAATGCTGCCGAAATTCTGACGTTTATTATGATAAAGACAGTTATTGGAAACCCTTACAACAAAACCATTTTGCGATGTAATGATTTTGTTTATTTTGAGAAAAGTAAAAAAAAAAACAAAAAACAAAAAAAAAAAATTACCAAACGATCTTTTATCCTACATTTATATCGTTAAAAATAGTACTGATAGAAACATTGGACACAAACTATGATGATTTATAACATGACTCAATAAGTAAAAGTAACGAGGTAGAATAGCATGGTTGAATAATTTGAGAAAAAATTGAATAAACCGCGAGGAAAAGAGTAAAAGCATTCATTCACGAAGCAGTGAACTTGCACGAGTTAATAGCCATTACGTAGCTGCGAATCAATGATCAGATCCTCATCGCCCGGTGCATTACCCGCAAGTGCGTGGGCGTGTTACCTCGACTCGACTGTACATATGTGTAGGCTTTTAAACGGTCGCTGACCCCCCCCCTCCCCCGATTATGCGCCGCGCGATGTTTTAACGCATGTATCTGAATTACATGTACCTGCGCCAGTCGATGCACACGCCACAAAATGGTTGGCATCTTTAAAAATAAATATTTTTATCGAAAGGCTTGTGTATGGAGGGATGAAAAAAAAAAAAAAAAAACGTGTGCTGTAAAAAATGTATAAAAGTACACAGCCCTACGTACCTCAGGTACTGAATATTGGCCAAACCACCACTTGTATAAGCAACAAAGCCCGATGCTCGGCGAACATCCTTACCTGCCAAAAAAGTTTGCCACACTGGACGATCCACCTTACGATATTCTACCTTTCATTCGGTTGTTTATTTTTTAATCATAAAAATTTTTTTCTCAACAATATTTGTGCAACAAAAAAAAAAGGTATACGATTTTCGTAGATGAGCGAGCGCGCCCCGACATCGCGCTCGGCGCACCTCGCTCGTCGGTGCTGGCCCACACCTGACTGGCTGATCCTTCGACTCGGAATCCACTGGGCTCACCTCCTCCTGATACGCCTGCAAAACCCAGTCCTTCCTCCTTTCTTCTTCTTCTTTCTGTCCGTCTTTTCAACTTTCGCCCCTCGTCACGATTGCCTCGCGCTTATGTGGGTTTTTACGCGTTAGAGTACCTTTATTTTACTCTGCAAGAAGACGATTTCATGATCAATGGATTCATCGCTTGAATTTTGGAGTTAAATGATGTATTTTAATCTGGAAACGTCTTTGATCAGAGAAGTGAATTGTCGAAAATTACGTTTTCACAAATTGTTGTAAGTACATGCGATGATGGATCGTTGTGGGATTTTTATCATAATTTCGTTACAGTCATCTCTCACACTTGATAAATTAATAGCGCAAAAAAATTTTTTTTTTCTTCCGAATAAGTGCAATACATTGAAGATATTAAATTTCATAAAATATAAAATATTCAAATACTTTTTCAAACGATTCCATCATTTTTGTTTGTAAAATGTTTTTTCCTTTCAAATCTCAATACATTATTTTTGCTATAAACACTGTGTTACGAAAAACACTTGAAAACATTTTTTTCGTCATAAATCATGCGTTACTTTATTGACAAAAAATTATTTTTCAAAAAAAATCCCAAAAAGTATCAGTGTCCAAATCTTTTAACTTATAAACAGTAGGTACGCATCAGGAGAAGCAAGTATTATTTTTCTCCATTCCTCGCGACAATGGTTGTCCTTTATTAATTTAATAAATTGATCCCAACTATACCACCCGGTATCTCTACGCGAGTCCCAAACCACAACCGTCCCAGCGCATTTCCACCTTGAAAAACCCAAATACCGAAGATCGCCCCTTCTTTCGCAGGACGAAGGAGTCAACTCGCCGGTTCACGACCGCCAGACGCTCACTCTCCTTCCAACGGCAGTCACCTGTTATTGATCAAAACTTTGCCCATCATCTGACAGCTTGTTGTCCGTAGTTACCATGGCATCCCCCAACACTCGCACTCATTCATCACGACCCCCCCCCCTTCTCTATCTCCTAAGCCCTTGACCGGACACAAGATTTTTTCTCCATCGCACTATTTTTTTTTTTTTTTTTTTTTTTTTCAATCAACTGTTTCCTCCGTTGGCGTGCACGAGTTGCGGTACACGACGGCAAACTGTCTCTTGATTTCGGGCTCGCGTGCGGGTTCGGAGGCACAGGCTGGAGTCGTTGGCACGGAAGGAAAGAGGGAATTGGTGGGATGAGCGATGATGTCGTGAGAGACACACTCGACTTGACCCGTATTTCCGGAAGCTCTCCTGTGACACACATTCCGCTGATTGATCGAAATGACGGGCAACCGAACGAGAACGCTGTATTATATACACGGGGCTTCGTGTCCCGGAGTACAAAAAGTTTGGGCATCCCCGATGATTATTGGCCCCGTTTGTATCTTTCGTTTCGGCGAGACGGTAAAGAGTTGTTGTTTCGAATTACATGCTGCAGCGGTCATAAAACTTTCTTTTTTTTTTTTTTACTTTAATTGAAAAACCAGCCCTCGGTAAACAAAAGTTTACGTCATTCCGCGGAAAGGGGCCTCGACGAGAGAGGAAACGTTGCCGCCTTCGTTGACATGGTGAGAGGCGCTGGAAGAAAAGGATTTTTCGTCCGGGGCACGAAAATTAAGTCCGGGGCTGTCGAGGAGCTTCCTGTACTCTAGTTGCTGTGAACTTTGGCGTGCAAAAAAAACATAGGAAAGAAGACGAGCTGCATAATCACTACCTCGCTTCTATCGCTCGCTCGGGTGCCTATACCTTTTTTTAATATTAGTTTTTGCTCTCTCCTCATCGTTCTCTCTCTCTCTCTTTTTTTTTTTTTTTTTCGCTTGCGAGAAAAGTTTGAGTGGCAAAGTTACGAGTCTGACTCTCGCTTGCTTTTTTTTTTAGAATCCGTGCCAAATAATTACATTGATTTTTCATTGATGATAACGGGAGTAGTTGAAACAGTTGAAAAGGTCGTTGGGCTTTAGTTTCGTTTCACTTATTTTTTACTACCTTTATTTTAAATAAATACTTTAAAATGCTATCCTTTTGACAAATATTTTTCATGGATGTAACATATCGTAGGATTATTCAATTAGTCCCCACTAATCATTTTACAAGGGTGAAGTTCTCTTGCTTAGGTGTTTTTTATTTTTTATTTTTTGATTCCTCATAAGCTTGAAAGATTTTATAAAAGAAAAAATACTAAATTAGACCCAGCATGTGTACGTTAGATGTTCTAATTCGAGGTCTTAGTGCTGAGCAAAAAAAACTCAAATTAAGTATGACAGACAAAACAAAATGCAAGTAAAACTGAGAAAATGAAACTAGAACCTATTATAATTAAATTAAGAGTTTGAGCACTTCGGAACAATTTGTATCGTCTTTCGAAGGTAGTTTTAAAATGTGATGTTTCATCAAAGGGATGCGGTTTTTTAATTTTATGACGAACGGAACGAGGGGTCAAATATTTCATTAATTTTAATTGTGATTGAAGCAGTTGCATCCGAACGCAATTAGTCAAATCACTGTATAACTGAACCTTTGTTTGACTAGTATTGCAACGATGTATTTAGCATAAAATTCTTGACAGAGGTAAACTGTACATCGCAACATTAGCATGTCCTGATGATTATGTGACAATTAGTTGTTTCAAAAACTTGGTTACATTTTCATATCTACTTTTTCTGTTCGTTTATAATCAGTCCAATATTTATTGTAATTTGTTTGGAGGTAACAAAGTTCATAGTGTAAGAATATGTACCATTTTTTTATTGCATTACTATGACGGACAATAAATAAATATGATCTGTATTTGAAAATATTGGATTTGATTGAACAACCACTTCACAACCTAGAGAACGTATTTTCATTTATGTTACCAAGTAGTTACATTCTTTAAAAAAAAAAATATTGAATTCGTGTATGGTACTCATTCACCACAAATATTCATGTATTTTTCTTCACTCAGTTCCCAACAACCGTACTATAAAATGCCCCATAAAAATACAAAGACAACTAAGTTACAAGTATATTTTTTTAAGTTACCCAAAATCTCTCAAAGACGTAAGTAGCGCGAATGCACTATCGTCTATCTTCAAAAGGTACTACGTAATTCCAGCGCTCGATCAGAAATTGAGATAAGACTGAGTAACTTGGGAACCAAAGATTTGCCCTGATTTACCTTAAGGATTGACCAATAACCCGCAAATATTAACATTCGTGTATCTATTTTTTTACATTCAAATGATCTAGTGATTCCACATATCGCATTATAAATGCAAAATATATATGTACGGAAATCGTATAGGGAAGGAGAAGAAAGGGTAGATTAGAGGCGCGTGCGGTAGCCATTAGATGCCAGATGATATTGCGGCTAATCGTCAAAGTTTCGCCCATTTGGAAATCCCTGGCAGATATGGAGCGCTCGTGGCTGCCTACTTCGAAAATTCTAATGGCACGTGCTCTTATAAGAAGCAAACAACGCCGCTTCAGCTTTTGTTTTGGCATTTTGCCTTGCGTTGTATTTACATGATTTTAAAGCGCCGATTCGCCTTTTTTTCCTCCGTGTTCCCCGACTTTTTAATCTAATTTCAAGCATCAGCGTGGCTGAAATAAATAAAAGATTGACTGACGGAAGGGTTAATACGATTCGATATAAACTGAGGGGTTTTGCTCGTGTCAATATTTTCATGTATAATCTTTGATCTGATGTTTCCTTTTTGTTTTTGTTTTTTGTTGTTTAAGAAAGAAAGGCTGAAAAGTAGCTCGAGATGTCACAGACAACGTCAGACGACGTTCTCGATGAGGATTTTTTTTTCTCGGAGATGCTTTCCAGCCAGTCAGATTTGGAAAATCAAATTAAATCACTAAAAATATCCTTTGAAAATACTTAATGTAGCTTAAAAAAAAAAAAAAATTACGTTTTCGTGATTTCCTTACATCATGCTTTTCACGAGACGACTAATAGCGACAGGAGCGCAGAAGAAAAGTTGGAGGATCTGCAAAAATTTTTATCCAGCAGTAACATACAAAGTGCCACTGTGGACATACTAGACGAGAAAATATTTAGTGCCGTGCTTTCCGATGCACGGAAAATATATTTTCAGGTGATTAAATTGCTTGCCGATATCATTCGTATTGAAGTTCATTTTTTTTTTTTTTTTTTTTTTTTTTTTTCATTGCCATGTTTTGTAGATAATCTGCAATATCAATAATACGCTGGAAAATAAGGAAAACATTTGTACAAATCGCATAAAAAGTCAACTGAATGTCTTGGCGAACCTATTAAAATGTTGGGACTCTTGTATGAATCACATAAGAAATTTGGAAAAACTATCGATACTCGATATAAAAAACTTTACCTCGAGCTTATTCGAAATAATTTTCGAAGTATTGAACCATTGCAAGAAAAGGTAATTACGTTTACTACTCATCGACTCGTTTCAATTAAATGCAATTTTACTGGAAAAAAAACCAGCTGATTCACTTTAATTTTCAGCGAAAAATATTACGGGGACCATTTTAAAACAGTCGCGGAAAATTTAGCTCTGACGTTTCGCCAGTGCGGCACTACGTTGAGTTACTTTTACGCTCTCGTGGATTCCAACGTTTCGTTCGACGCAAGCCAAGAGGACGAGATGAGGGTTCTTCTGAGCAGTGAGTAGTTATTTGATGCAATTTTTTTCCAAAAGAAAGAAAGATTTGTCAGTGCGTTTCAATTTTGGACTAGTTATCGACGAGTCGGGCAAAATAGCAAGCTTGACCAGCGGCATGGACGCAAAGACTTTGACGGATATGTGGAAAAGGTTCGGTAAACTGTCGACGAGCTACGGCTTGCAAATGAAGGACATCTCGCCAAACGTCGTCACCAATCACTTCAAAGGACTGTCCGAGAACATCGTGGACATGCTTTCGTCCATCGGTCAGGTAAGCGTTGAGCTAATCGTCGCTTTCATCGAAACTACAGTTCCACCATCTCATTGCAGAAGATCCACAGACCATCGAACGAACGGTCGATACTATGTTGTCGAGTATTGTTCAAAGTGCTAGAGAAACTGTGCGAGACTTACTGCGGCTGGGTCCGTAATGACGTGATGCTCTCTATTGTCGATTTACTCTCGCAAATTTACCAGTGAGTGTATTTCAAATATCGTTCATCGAACGAATTTACGAAAATACGAATTTTGTCGCAGGTATAGCGAGCAGCGTTTCGCAATAGCCGGTCACAATGCCGATTTCATCAAGTTCGTTCGGACGAATTTCGTCTTTATGATCGATTCATTTTTAAATGTCGTCATGAAGAACGACAGTTTCAAAGTGGTTTGTAATTTTTCAACTGTATAGCTTTATCTTGGTCTTTTTTGGGTATCAATATAAATTTGCGTGAATCATTGAAGGTATATTTTGAATACAACCAAATTGTGACGGACAATGTCGTAGGGTATCATTTGCTGACGTTGACAATAATCAAACAAATATCGATGTTACCTTACGAAACTCAGCGCGAATGGTGCAGCGAAGACAGTAACATTACAGATATTTGCTTTGCAAACATTGATAAACGTATGTTGATAATCTTTAATCGAGTAGTACGTGGCATTGAATTTAAAAAACTTTTCGATGCTTTTTTTTTTCTTTTTTTTTTGTACAATAGTCACCCAGGAAATTTGCACAGGACAAGTGCAAGTAGAGATGTCCCGGAATCTTGCACAAGGGTCGTACCAGGCTGATATTTACGAGGCAACGTGCCTGAGCATATTCTCGTTGGTTTGTCAAGTGCCGAGTTCCGATGTCGACGAGTTCATGGAGTTGCTGTTAAAATATTTGATCAGCGGAAAGTGGTTTAGCTCTCTATTGAGCTGTGACGTTTGGTGCTTCATTTGCAGGTGATTATTATGAAACAAGAGACTTTTTCCACGTTACAATCGCGGATACGAGTAATTGTTCGTGTTTTACCCTTTTTTAGATTAGGTTCTTCCGAACTGTGTTACAGCCACTTCAAATACTTAATGCTTGTCTACGAAAAGCTGGAGGATAGGAAGAACCATGTCAACACGGTCATGCTGTCGAATTTACTGAGTCGTCAGTATACTTTTCTTTCGGACAAAGACAAGCACGATTTTATTAGTGGTATCAAAAAAAACTCTAGCTCCCACGGATGGGACTCGATCGCGCAAGTGGTCAACGAAGAAAAGAGAAAACTGTTGCAGCTGCAAGTCGATGCTTTTGACGCCAACAACAGGATAGCTAACGATCTGAAAATTTTAGAAGAGCAGCCGAATCTAGACAATTTATGTTCATTGGTGAATACATTTTTTTTTTTTTTTTTTTTTTTTTACGTTCCTTTACAAAAATTATTTTACACAGCACTGAATTTTGACTCAAAGTTTTGTTTGGTTTTGGTTTTTAAGATGAATGATTTAGCAATCATCGAGGCTACCGGCACACCTCAAGATGGACAATCTGCTGACACTTTTATCAAAACGTGGAACAAGATTGTTTGTATTCTAGGTGATTGCGAGGGTGTGTCTCTGTCGGTGATAGAGAATCTTGCTGTTTCTTTGCTGCATGCCACGCGACCGCAGTTAGGCCAGGCCCGGTATACGACTTTGGTAAGTGGGAATTCTTCGTCTATGTTTACACTAAGAGAAAAAAAATAATAAAAATTTTAGAGAAATTCCAGCAAAAATTACAATTCCGTACAGTAAATCGGATGCAAGCTGGAAAAAAAGGAAAAAAAATTATTATTTCTAACAGTTAAAATTACGGTTCGACAAGTAAAAATTATGATGCGAACAGTAAAAATTTCGATGAGAGAAAGTAAAATTTATTAACCGATGTTTTTAAACTTTACTGCTCCACGACAGTAATTTTTAATTCTTACCATAATTTTTACTATTTAAACTACAGTTTTTACATTTGCAACAATAAAATAAATAACTTTTTGCTTTTTTGCCAGCTTACATCTAATTTACAGTGCGGAATGGCAATTTTTGTTAAAATTTCTCTACTGTTTTTATAATTTTTTTCTTTTAGTGTACCTTCACGTGTTTTCTAACCAAGGAATTGCGATGTCGATGTCGACAATAATTTGGAAATTGAAAAAAGGTCTTGTTGTTTCTCACGGGAAAAAATTCGAGGGATGCGTCATTCCTAAAATTGAATTGATCAAATGTATGGAGGTTTCAGATTAATTTTATTTCGTTGTAGGAAACTTAAAAATCTAGACTTTTCATCATTTTTACCGTTTTTAATCCTCTTAAAATAGTTAGATTTCGAAATAGTTAAAAATTTTTTTTTTTAGGGGCTCACAGAGAATATCTCTAACATAAGTTCTCTTGCAATTACTTTGCAATTAATAATAATAATAATAATAACAATAATAATAATGATGATATCTCTTTATATATAGAATTACAGGTTCTAAAAGTCTTGATGCCAGTTTACCGAGTACCCTAAATTAATTATTTACTCTATGACTATTTGCAAATAGGATACATTTATTTACATTATTCGTAATCTTATTTAATCAAACAACGAAATTCTTTTTGATCTGAAATTTTTCTTGGTGATGATGATGATATTAATATATTGATAAAATTAATAAATTATACCGCGCTCCTAGCGCTAATAATCGTTGGGATACTAAAAAAAAACTAGCATCGAGATCTGTGATACTTAAAACAAACTTTTTTATTATTTACATTCTCTGATTGAAGTATCACTGTTTGGATTCGTAAAAAAACTCTCTTTACCAATTACTCTGTTCCATCAAACGTAAATTGTTTGTTGAAGAATTAAAATATCACAGCTTAAAAAATAAAAAATTTCCTTAAATACAAGTTACTTTCGTAATTGCACATGTTATAATTATATTAAGCTCCGAGCTCTTTTACTTACACTGTGACCATTACTCGTGACTGTATAGTTACAATCAAATGAATGCCTTACCCGAAACATTCTCGACTCAATCATCCAAGTGCACACGTAACTTGTAGATCCTCGAACGGTTGGTCCTACTGTATCCATTCGCCACAAGCGGCTTGCGCCTCGAGTTCTGCTGGTTCTTCGACCGTTGCGCGGTGCACCTGACCGAGTCCGACTCAATGGTCGCGTCCGAGCTGTTCTGCCGACTGCTGAGCGACAGCGAGCCCTGCGTCCAGCAGCAAGCCTTCGAGTCCTTCGAGCGCCTGACCCACGTTTGCTCCGACACCAAGCTGCTCTCGTCCATCGCCACCAACATTCGCGATGCTCGGGCCGAGGCGTCGAAGACTCTACCTGCCTACATCTCGGCCGAGGTCGCTCACCGGTTTCATGGTTTTTCGAGTTTCAACGGCTACTTTCGAGCCCTGGGCGGAGCCTTCGATGCGAGGAGACACGTGTGCCGTGAGAGGGGTCGAACCATCGAGAGGGAGGAGAAGCTGCCGAGACTAGATGGGGCTGCCAATGATTCAAGGAGTGGCCCGGTGGACGTGGAAAAGGTAGTGGAGAGGGTCTGCGACGATGTCAATGAGCTCATCAAGTTCAAAGGACAGCTCAACGGGAGGTCACGTGACAGGCTGCGACAAGTCCTTCGAGGCTTCTTGGATCAAAGTGACTGTTAGGGGGTTGGGCATAAAAGTACTTGCCTTTTTTTTTATTATTTAATTCTTTCAGTGCAGCGGAGTATTATTTTTGTAAGCCCTCGAGAAAAAAATATATATTTTTTTAACTTTGGTGATTTTATTTTTATTTTTTCCCGTCCTAGTTAAGATCACCTGAAAGGGTTAAAAAACACTCTTTGAAAACTGCTTGAGTATCACAAACACCTCTCTTTTACGAATCTTTTTTCTTTATACAAATTTTTATTTATTACAAGTCGTTAAGCAGAATATTGTACAATGCACCGGTTAAACTGTCATAATTAAACTATTTACTGGTATTTTACAAAAGGATCCGTAATTCAATATGTGCCATAGATCGTAGAAAACAATCATGCAGAGAAGACAATGTAAAGAAGAACTATTTCTGTAGGTAATCTTTAATTCTGCGATTTTATCCGGAAGAGAAGTGAAACAGAAATAGAAAAGTATTCGTTATTGCGACATTTTAAAATCCTTAAAAATTGAAATTATATTGGTACGAAAGAGATTTAAATATTAAAATTTGTTAACAATAAAAATGAAAAAAAATTTTAGTTTAATTTACCAGACCTGTACAATAAAATCTGATTTTTTTCTCTATAAAGTACGAACTCTCTTTTTTATAATACATTTTTATAATACTATTTGGACGAAATTACATCTGGAAAAAGGGTATTAAATGTATTTTCACATGAAAAAGTAAGTAAAAAAGGGTTCCTAGCGATGAGCTAAAAATCATATTTTTTTAATGTCTTAGTAGTACATCGTCTTACAAATAAAAAAAAATTAATAATGTAACGCCACATCCAATATTTTGAATAAAAAATAATGCTCTTATGTCTTATGTAAGTCTGCTATTCTTATACACTACGACGTTGGCTTCAAATATTAAGGTTTGATGTGTCAGGTAGAAGAAGCGTGAAAGTCTTCGATTCTTGACTGCCTTTTAGCGCTTGTGGCTGTTTTTTTGCAATAACTGGTATAGCAACATCATTGTACGTAAAATTACTTTTCTTCTGTAAAAAAAGTATTGTTTTGAAGAAAGACGCATATTATTCATAGTTATATGTATTATGATACAAGGTTTTTAGGCTCAGTTGGAGATTTGTTGTACTGTTAAGCCAAAGAACAATAAACTATCATCGTAACTAATACGATTTTGATGAACTTACAAATTTAAATGGTAATTTAATTCTATTTAATTTTTTCCTTATTCAGAAGACGGAATCAAACAGGTACTTTTTCATTTTTTTCACATGGATTATTATTATTTTTTTTTAATCATAGCCCCATGGCGTGTAAAAATGTGTATGACTGAGCGTATCTATAAGTGCAATCTTAGAAAATTTAGAAATCTCGATGGTGCCAATCTAATTTACGTTTGTAGTATATTTATGGATTACGATTCGTGTGCCTATTATACACAATGTCTCACTAGCATTCCAATATTTACTTTTTTGATTCTTTACTTCTATACTCCTTTTTTACCAACTCTTGCTGCAACTTAAAAAAAAAGAATCAAACAAGAGAAAATGTAATCATACGTTTTCGAAAGAAGGACAGTTATAATTACTTTCAAAAAAATAAAATTTTAGCAATTAATTTATTAACAGAATATTTATTGTTGTAGGAATCGTCTTCTATTATTTATTGAAAAACGTATTTTTTCCAGAGAATAAAGTAATTATGAATGAGACAAAATTGAAAATATTTGATAGTAAATACTTGAAATGGAACACATTTTTTCTTCGACTGACCGGATTATGGCCTTACTCAAATCAAATAAACAAATTACTTCCGAGAGTCACCATTTTGGGTTTTCTTACTATATACCAAATTCCATGTGTAAGTCGTTGAAAAATTTATGTCAATAATATTTTTCACCCATGACTCTTCAATGATGTAAAATAATTTGTTAAGAATTAATAATCTAGTTAATAGTTATGATAAAAAAAGGCCATATTTTATTTACTATTCAGTTTAGGGGACTACTTCGGTATATAAATCGTGATATGAACTATTTTTTCGAAAACTTGGGAGCTTTTTGTTTTCTGTTAAATATCATCCTCAAATATATTTTTATAATGATGTCCGAAACAAGGGTGAGTTTACAAGCAACACATTTTTAGTTTATAGTAAGAATTAGAGTAAGATCGATAACATTAAGGTGACTGATACGGATTAATATAACTAATGATATCAACCTAAAACATAATTTATAGTTAAAGCACTATTCTTTTCAATATTATGTGTGAAAATGCTTACACTGTCAAATTTCGTTTATTAACAGAACAGCGTTTCAGCCTGTACAAAATCAAGATTCAAGGCCCTTATTAGGTTCAAATAATTAGTTGTCAATTAAAATTGCTAATTCGTTGATCAAGCATTTAAGGCATTACCAACGTTGCCTATAGTAGCGACTTAATATTTGAACCTGATGAGGGCCACGCATCTGGATTCCCTACGGGTTAAAGCGTTGTTCCAATAAAATTTGTTAGTATAACTGTTGGTTTACATATATTATTATTTATCATTTACTATCATTCGAGCTACTAATAAACACTGTACTTTTAACTTCTTTTTTGAAACCATTAGGTCAACCATTTCATTTCAGAGAAAAAAATGTTTGCATTCAAATTTTTATTTTTACATGAAGCCCTCATTAATTTATAACAAGAGCTGCCCAAAAAAATTTTATTTTGAATTTTTATTAATGTGTTATTCTCTGTTTTGTATTATTCACATTTACTGCATCAACAAATTACCTAAAATGTTGAGTTCCCTGGAACATTAAAAAAATTTTGTATACCCTTTTACAATATGTGTACTGCTTACGTGATAAGTTTGTTTTCCTATTCCAACTAAGTATTAACTTTTCATGTATAGTATGTGACCAAACACCTGAGCCACGTTAACTTTGTATTCATAAAGCATGGGCAGTGTATTTTTGAAGTACTTTGTATAATTTTTTTTTTTTTTTTATTATTGAACAGTACTTAGAACCAAAATGTTATAATTATAAAGAATTTTTTCATTTTTTTCCATTTATAGGGACAAGTTTATAATATGCACAGTAGTTTCTATTCTACATTAGATTATTTATTAAATACATACAAATTTTTTTTACTGTAAATCCAAATATAACTGTAATTTTTTTTCTTGGTATTTATTTATTAGTTTTTTTCTGAAAATGAAGTGATTTGTTTTTTTATGATAATATGTAGTGATGAAAGATTTATTTCTTGACTTTTTGACAAACTAAAATATGTCCGATTACCTAATAACCACTTTCCGTACATATCATCAGCTTTCTATTGTGTGTCGAGATAAAAGTTATTACTATATCTCCTACAAAATTTAGTAGAAACAGACAAGTAAGGTAAGATACACCATTGACAGGCGTACGAAGAAATGAAATTGGTCAAACTTGATCCGTACTAAAAATTTGTTATTTTTAATGAAAAATAAACATTAAAAATGTTATTCGTAATAATCATAATATGATATTATATTAGGTATATTATGAGAAAAATTTGAGAAAAAAAATTTTTTTTTATTCTTAAATTAGGTTACGCTAAAAATCATATTTTTTTA